TCTTGAAGAAATACTCCAACACTAAACAGACACAAATTTTCTCTAGTAGATATTTTGGTCAGAAAAGTATCCTATCACCTGCTACTGAAATTTCATGGATATAGGTTAATATTTTATCAGTAGTAAATCAGACATATATTTATGAAATATTTTGAGATTTTGTATACAGGTATCTCAAGAAGGCTTTTGTCCAATTTTTAGCTAAGGCCCACTAATATCTTTGGAGGATTTTATGAATGATAAGTAGTCCTCCATTTATATTCTCTTTTTCCTCTATTTATATTCTAAGGTTCATCATTTTAAAAAGTCAAGCCATTAGAAGACAAGGTACTGGGCCAGGGATTTAGCTCAGTGGTTCCACCGCCTGCCCTGCAAGTACAAGGACCCAAGTTCAATCCCCGGTACCAAAACAAAAAGACAAGGTACTTACAGCCTTTTATATAAACTAAGAGTAGAATAACTATGGCTGTATCTTACTATGAGGGCTTCTCATGGGCTGGCACACCTTTTTTTTTTTTTTTTAATACATATTTGGAACAGGGGAAAGGAAAGAATGGTATGGTTCTAGAAGAAAAATACACATGAAACGGATTTTTCCTTTGTTGCCTTTAAGAAAACTGTTCAGCTGAGATTCTACCTCATCTCAGAAATAATGGCTGCTACCATGAAATCAACCAATAACAAATGCTGGTAGGGCTGTGGGGAAAGAGGAACCCTGCTCCACTGCTGGTGGGAGCGTAGACTGGTGCAATCACTGTGGAAATCAGTATGGAGATACCTCAAAGAACTAGGACTGGAAGTCCCATTTGACCTAGTTATTCCCCTGCTGGGGATCTTCCCCAAAGCATTAAAAGAATCGTACCACAGTGATATATGTGCACCCATGTTCATAGGGACACAGTTTATAATAGCTAAAGCTTGGAAGCAGCCCAAATGCCCATCAACTGGAGACTGGATCAAGAAAATGTGTTTTTTAAAAATAAAATGGAGTACTACTCAGCTATAAAAAATGAGAAACTAGAGACATTTATAGCTAAATGGATGCACATTGAGGCCATACTCTTAAGTGAAATCAATAGGACACACATATGTAAATACTGAATAGTTTCTCTAGTGTGAGAAACTGAAAGTGTAAATAAGGACTAAATGGTATAATAGATAATGTCAAATAGGAAGAAAAGGGGCAAACGGGAGGAGAAGTGGGAGGGGTAGGGGAAAGAAAAGAAGGGAATGGAATATGAGAAAATGAAAAAATGGAAACAAAGTCTTTGTAAATAGGGAGGGATGGAGGTGTTGAAGGGAGGGCAGAGGAATGGGGAAAAATAAGAACCAAGAGAGATTATGTAAAGGTGCAAATTTCCAATGATGAATGTCATTATATTGTATACCTAAAATGTACCAATACAATTTTAAAAAAAAGAAAACTGTCTAACACCACATTTTCCTTTTAGAAAGACACGTGTAGAAAATTTCTTAGAAAGTTCAGCCTTAGGAAATCATAGAAAACACAAGCTTCTTACAAATGTTTGTACTACACTTTTACCACAAGAAAGTCCCACATCTATGCATCTATTTTAATTTTTATTAACATCTTATTAAAAATTATACTTTACATTTGCCTTATATCATATTTTATTTCTATATTTATCACATTCCACATCACATCTTTGGGATATAAAAAAGTAAATAAGCATTTTTCTCACTAAAGTCAGAGATACAATAGTTAAACATCTTGATTACAAATGCATACAAAGATGTAATGTTGCTCCTCAAATTAAACTATGTGTGTGGGACTCAAAATTTAATGTACTTATTTCTAAGCAACTTAATGTTAATTCAATATATATATATATTAATGTATGTTTTTCATATTTGGGCTTATGTTATAAGGATTACTTAAAATAAGGATTGAAGATATAAATGTTCAATGTCATATAATTGCTCATGTTTTAACAGATTAAAATATTTTCCTAACTTTCTACTGTCAAATAAATATGGAATTCTTTGTATGGGGGCTTATCAACAACCTAAATGCTTTATATTCAGTGTGAAAAATTCAATCACAATTGTCAAAGATCAAGCTGCTACTCCTGATAAGATACATGATGAGATATCATCTTATTCAATGTATGCTTTCAACTTGATATGTAGGCTAATAAAAATATGAAGTTGTAATATTTATTTTATTTCTTGCACAACAGAAGGCTCCTAAGAGGAATAATCAAAATACCCAATATTATAGCATGAAAATACAGTCAACTCATTATCTGGAGACAGATAAACTGGTTTGCAGACTAACTATAGTAAAATAATAACCGCATGTATTGTACTTGTAAGATTTAAAAATTATTGCGCATCAGTGATTGTATCTCATTGAAAAGATATCTATTTTCAACTACAAAATAAATATGAGACACTACACTGTGCCTCCTGAAACAAGTTTCATTCATTTGATAGCTAGTTATTGAGTATTGACTATGTATTGAGCACTGCATTAGGGGATCCCACCTCATTACTCAGACCTACTCTCCTGTCAACAGCTCTGTAGAGAAAGCACAGAAGAGGGCATGCAGCCAAGTTTTGTGAGTCAGCTATATCGCTGAGATACAAAATCTAAAATGGAACCGACATTTTGCACCAGGAAACAATCTGGCCCAGAAGATTGTAGGTGTGGACTGAGCATCTCCTTAACCTTGCAACTCCTCTTCTGCTTTGGTTTCATTGCTTTCCTTCTCAGGGAAACCTGTATTTGGCAGTCTTACATACCTCCACACCTTCTTCAGCCTCTCATAATCACCACACCCTGACAATGTCCCTGACATTCTTGAGTTGTTACACTCTACTGATTCCCCTCTATTATTTTACCACAAACACCTTTGACACTACTTCATTTTGGAAGGAAGGCCTTCATCTCAAAGTATAGTGACAGTTATATAATAATAAATATTCAAGCACTTGCTAAGTAATTAAATAAGCCACCTTCAACCTCATGTCCTTTAAGATACTAAGGTAAGCAAGAGGGGAAAAATAACAAAGAAACCCAGAACTCATTCTCTTCTGAACAACCACATTACACATATCAGCAGTGGTGCCCATACCAGTTGGCTAAACTGGAAATGAAGGAATTATCTTTGATCTCTTCTCCTTCCTTATCTTCTTAGTTGATTTACCCTGTCATTCCCCTATGTCATGTACCACATGTTAGTCAGCTACTGAAAATCTCCCCCTGTAATCCTCTAACTTAGCACTGTGAATGGAACTTACAGTAATGATTGAACTGGGCTCTATCTATGCTGCCAACATGTACAGACACTGAGAACTTGGCACATGGCAAGTAGGACTTTTGACCTAAATATTTCAATCTTCTTTAAATTTTAATGAGTATCAATTTAAACAATCATTATTGGCAACAGTACTGGACAGAGCAGCTTAACCTTTCATATTGCTGATAGGACTATCTTCCTACAAAATATCTGCTCACATAATTTGCCTTACAGAACTAACATGTCTGCACAAAACTTACACTACTAGCATGACATTCAAGACTTTTCAATATCTAAACCAATTTACCAACTCAGTACTATTTTCCCTAACTCCTGTCCGGTGTAGGCTCCAATGATATTAGACAACTCAGGGTACCACCCCACGCCACACAGCCTTTATGGAACTTCTTTCTCCTGCTTAGAATGCCTTTTCCTCCATAGAACATGTACCCATCCTTTAAATTTCAGCTCAAGTTTCTACTCTTCTCTGAATATTTAGCTGCCCTCTGGCAGCTAGGCTAACCTCCAGCACTGCCATAACATTTTGTACAATGGTTTATGTGTCAAAAAATGAGTTCCATGTATGCTAGGGAAAAATTAATCACCTACATTAAAGAGATGATCTGATAAAGCATCTGGCACAGAATTTCTCCCTGAGTAAGCACTCAACAGATGTGCAGAATCTTCAAGATGTTTTAAGAGTTGCACTGACCATAACAAAGATCCTAATCAAATACAGAAGTCTATGAAAACAAAGAAAAGAAAATAAAAACGAGATGGGAGAGGGGAAAACGCACAAAGTATTGATACCAAGGGAAGGCACAGGTCAGGGAAACTGAGTGAGAAAATTCATGTAAGCACCAAAGGAATAACTATTGAGTAAACCCACAGCTGACACTGAACTTTATTCTCACCTTCCCTAAGGAACTGGCAATAGCAATAATCAAATTCCTTAATCAGTGAGAATAGATGTTACAAGGTCAAGAACAAGAGAAAGCTTTTCTTGTGATGTGTAACTAAGAAGAATTTGTTGTAAGCAGATCAATAAAGCACAATTACTATGGCCCACTCCTTAGGAAAGAGCTCTGTTATATGAAACACTGAATATATTTGTTGTAAGAAAATTCAACCTATGGAAGAACTCATGAAGAAACACATTCTCTAAACTTATTAAATTAAATTTTTATCATCAAAATTATAGTTCTATGAAAATACTTCAAAATCATCAATGACATCTCAGGTATGTTTGTTCCTAATATAATTATTTTCCCTTTACAGAAAGCAGTCTTATTTTTCTCTTTTCATCTGCTTACAAAAAACAATGCACAGAAATATATATATAGTTAAAGGTAAAAAGTTAGGCAATCCTTAAGCAATACTCAATATATACCATCATATGCAGGTGCCTGAACTGAATAAATATTATGTTTAAATAATATTCTGATGTTCCATTTTGTTGCTCTGAGAAAGCATAGGTTTACGATATAATTTTGTTATTAAACAAAATCCGTCTGTTGGATTTGCAGATCTCAGAAAATTAATATTTGGATTTAGTTCAGAGGTTGAGTAAATTAGCTCAGTTCAGTCTGGGTTTGAGTTCACGGTTCAGTTCAAGTTCTTGATAATGAGCATATCAAAATAAAAATATTCAAATAATGTAATCAGGGCTGACATTTAAGACTAAGTGTTCAGGCAAATATGTGTCTTAAAAAAAAAAAAAAAACCAAACAAACTCACTTTACAGAGAGAGCTAAGGTTAAATCCGAAGGTTTGAGCATTCCGGGAGCCAGCATTCATGTAGTTTCCCATTAGCAATACAAGTTCCAGCAACTTGCTAAAGCTTTTGCTCTTCTTTATCTCTTCGCAGGCAGTACTGACAGCCATGATGTCAGGTTTGATGTTGTTCACCTGCTCTTCAAACTGAAGCTTAAAGAGAATAGCACTGAGCCGTGGCCGTAGTCTCTTCACATTGCTCATCTGATTGAAAAGAAAATAGCAGATTTCCTTTAAAATGCATGGTATACTTTAGTACTGTATGGATGCAAGTAATCTGGGATGATTTATTGGTATGACAGTACCAAAGAAGCAATATGTCCCCTGAAACTGATGGCAGCAAGAGAGAAGAAAATCCCTGCTTGTTTCTGTAAGAAATCCAGAGTCATCCCTCAAAAACAAAATTAACAATTTAGATGTGTAATGAAAAGGAAGCTTTAGTGAAACAAAGTTTAAGTAACAAAGTAACCCTTTTTTTAAAAAAACCACCTAAATTATAAAGAGGAAATATATTATATAGGCAACAAAGTATAAAGCATTCATATCATTACTCTAAATCATCCTTGTTCAACACCAAAATACACCAGGTCATGTTTAAAACATGTGCAGAAAGGTCTAAAGAGGGTTTGTTTTCTTCAAATAGCAATTGCTGTCCTCAGAAGCCCTGCTGACTAACAGTTTGTGTTAGAGGGAGAGTAAATAGGTCCCAATTTGTACTAAATTGACTTTCTTCAGAAACACAGAAAGCAGAATGACTCCTGACACCTACTAAATTAGCAGAATCAGAGTTGGGAAACGTGGGAGTCAGGGAGATAGAAGTGGGACAAAGCCACAGGTTTTTCATGTGCCAAGTTAACCCTGTTTGGGACTGTGTCGAAAAGAACAAAGGGCCATATTCTGCCTATCTTTACGTTTACTCTGTCTCTTCTATCAGTACACTCAAGGAGGATAATCAGTTCCTACAGGCTGGAGAGATACTGTCTTTATACTAGACAGGAATTCCTTGACCAAAAGCATTCGGAATTTGAGTCTTAAATCATACTGACGGGGCAGTGATAGTAAAATTCTTGAAGTTCAACTACTGTAAAATCAAAAGCAGTGAGAGGAAAAACCAGACAAAAATTAATGACAGAATACAACAGGGTTAAAATAGAGACTAGTCCTCCTTGCTACAAACTCTAAACAAAAAGCTAATGCTATATGAAGCTTGTAGGATGTCAAATATAATAAAATCACTATTGTTCAAAAGACAGAAAGTTATGTGTCCCTAATATAATGACTATTTAGTATATGTTATACAAAAGCTTATCAGACAGCAATATAATGCAGACATAGCCTTAATGACAACAAAACACAGCCAACTTATCTTACAAAAACTGAGCAATAAAGAATTAACTTAGTAGACACCTGAGAATATATTCAGATGGACCCAATCCTTACAGTGACTAAAACATTTCATTAGCAAATAGTATAAATATACAACATATACTTAGCACATAACCCAGCCACATCACGTTAAGTGTTTACATGCATACAAGAAAAAAAATCTATAACTCCACTAAAGTAGTTAATAAGTCCACTCAACAATGTACTTTAATGCCCTCAAATTCTCTGACCTCAAAAAATGTCTTCACATTTCCCTGTCTAGGAAAAATATTTTTTTCTGTTAAAAATATTTTTTCCTAGACAGTAAAAAAGACTGTAAATACAAGAGATACATTTTGAAAAAATTAAATGTTTTCTAATCTTTAAGCAATATAAAATTGAAGATAGATAGATAGATAGATACATCTATCTATCTATCTATATCTATATATATATATATATATATAAAAAATTTTTTTTTTTTTGGTATTGAGGATTGAACTTGGGATCTTGCGCTTGCGAGGCAGGTGCAGGAATCACTGAGCTAAACCCCCGGCCGTAAAATTGAAGAAAGATAAAGGGTGGCTTGATAAGAGTATCAATTATTATTGGGTATGAATCAAGTTTTCAAAATATCATATCTCCAGTAAAAAAAAGTAGAGGTAAACAGCCATTACTTCTCATAAAGTCATTTGATTTGTCATAAAATCCACTGGATGTCACCAAATGGATTCATTTCCATGGAATTTTTTTAACTCTTTAACACTGCAAATGGCAGATAGCCATAGTACATTGGCAACATGAATAATACTCTATTACACTTAATATAGACTTTAAATAGTGAGACATAAAAAAGAGCACTCACACATAGTGTATGTAATGATAGACATTAAAAGGGTGCATAGTGGCTGGGCTGTTGGCACACACCTGTAACCCAAGCTACTCGGCAGGCTGAGGTAGGAGGATCACAAGCTCAAGGCCAAAATGAGCAAGTTAGCAAGACTTTGGCTCAAAATAAGAGAAAAAGGCCTGGGGATGTACTCAGCAGTAAAGCACTTGTCTAGCATGCAAGAAGCTCTAGGTTCAATGCCCAGTGCCCTCTCGTGCCTGCTAAAGTGCATGGACCCATGGCCTTTGTGCTTTTTGTCAGTGCCCTCATCCCTAACTATGAAATCAGCTATGTGGCACTTTGTAATAAACTGGAGAAGGAATTCTCTAGAACCTCATGCAAAACATTAGTATTAACCAAGTACATTTTCATTCTAACATATGTTAATGTACTATTTCATGCAGAAAAAGAAGTAAGAAAAAAGACTGCTTAAATGCCTACATTAAAGCACCTCAAAATACGTTAACGCTTTCCTGCTGACAAACTAACCATATGTAGCCAGCATAAAGTAATTAATTTTCCTAGAAAAATATAACCCAGATTTGCATGAGTAATGAGTCTATCTGGCACTAGGGACAGGTACTTTGCAAAGATAAAGTCAATGATGTAATGTAGAACAAACTGCTACACAAGCACGAAAACCCTGACAAAGCAAAGTCAGGAAGGATAACCTAAAAACCAAGTTTTCAACAATGCTATTTTTTAATTAGTTTTCCTTTGTATATGGTTCTTTCTTCTAAATTTGGGTAAATTAACACTTTGTTATCAAATAAATGGATTTTAATAAGCTAAACTGCTGACCTGGAATAGAACTTGAGAAGTCACCTGGAACTCATTCCAGTCTTTGGTTCATTGTTTAATGATACAATGATCCTTTTATTAAAGGGGGGGACAACCCAATTAAAACTAATGTTCCATCATTAGGGGGTCTATGATAAAAATAGGATTCTTTATCTCATTATTTAATTCAAAGTTTGTTTCTTCAAATGGAATCAAATAAAAAAGGTAAAAAGGTGGCGAGCAAGGATAAAGCTTGAACAAAGCTTCCTCATGCTCACAACTTGCCATATTCAATGAAAACTGGGGCTACACATTTTATTTTTGTGCTAAGAAAGCTGGAACTCTGACTTGGCTGCCAAAGACCAAGTGGGATGCAGAAACGGAGAACTATACCTCTCAAATAATACTGTGAATGGCAACAGAAAGCTGAAAGAGAGAGAGAGAAAAGAAAAGGAAGGAAGAAAGAACAAAAGGAAAAAAAGGAAGAAAGAAAAAGGTTTCAGGAAACAAAATATTGACAGCAAGCTGTAAGCTAATTAACAATTAGAGTGTTGTAAGAAATTAGAATTTCATTTTCCACAGAGGTACCCTTTAAGTTATTGTTATGGAATCCTCGCAAATATAAACAACCCCAAAATCTATGACAACAGTGAAGTGTAATCTGAAGCTCAGTCTCAAAGATAAAGGCTACTTTGATTTCCACCCTATTTTTGAAGGCACAGAGATACTCCTGAAATCTCCCACACCCCATCATCTACAGAAATCACAGGCCAAAGTGAAAAAGCCACAAAAGCAGTGACAAAAGAAAATCAAACAAGGAGCAATCTCCAGAACCCTATGGGGAGTTTTTAATGTCAAAATGTTGTTTGTTGGCAACACATGGGAAAGAACAAGCACAACATAAATGAAAAGGCTTAGAAAAATCAGTGAATCCACAAGTACAGACTGGGCTCCATGCTCTGAAAGGCACACTCTTATAGCCCACGTGCTCTAATTCTATCTTAAAGGGCGAGTAAAAGAAAATGTCCCCAAAAGCCATAATTCTCCCTAATCTCATGGTTATTTATCACAAATAATTTTAATTTTATCATTAGTCTGTTGCGGGGAATATATTTGACACCTTTATACCAATTATGGTTAACTTACATTGTGTCTATTTCTCACTACATTTTTTAATATAAATAAAAGATTGTCAGGCACCAACATATTTAAAACTTGAGGCCCTTCCTATCCTATTGCATAGATTTAGAGGTACTTACACAAAACTTTAGTACATATGGGTATTATTTTTCCTTAAAATTAACCACTCATTTAACTTTCTAATACTACAGTATAACCTACCGATTGAAGTTCCTAGCTTCAATCTAAATAGACTTAATACTCTAAAGCTTTCATTCATATACTTTGTAAATACCTAGCTATAAGAAAAAAAGGAAGAGGTTTCAGGAATGTTAAATGACTCCTTCAAGTCACAAGGAATATGACCTGGGCATCTAGGTAGCTTGGTGCTAATCAAGTGGTCCCATGACTTATCATCACTGTGTGGAAATTAAAAGCCCCAACTAAACATCATCTGGCATTCAAACCCAGTGTACTATGTTTTTTTATAAGTATGAATTAAATTTCCTCATAGCAGTTACTGGTAAGATAGAAAATGACCCTATGAGTTTCACTTGCTACTTAATCTTGGTGTTTCATTCACTTCTCCATATGCCCAATTCCCTCCTCCTATGTTGATTTTTTTTAATACTCTTCCAGATCTACTTTTATAGTGGCTCCACGCTGCACTCTACTCATACGTCTCTATTAGCAAATTCTTCAGTTCTCTGAGGGAGAAGAAGCAAGAACAAGGAAAAAACAAATGCATTTTGTGAAAGATAAGAGAAAGTAGTGTTATCTAGTAACAGACTGAAGACATTTAGAAATTCTGAACCCAATTTTTCTAATTATGTGAAAAATATGTCTATCTTCCACTGTTAGCAGGCCAATATGTTCATGATCTCCAGAATTCTCAAAAAGAAAAAAAGTTTATTGCATTTGGAGAAAGGCTTCAAGTGCCTTATGTCTGGGTAGTACTCAGAATATCAAAAATGTGGTTTTTTTTTAAATAAATGTGCTCTTATGATATTAAAGCTCCTATGCTAAAATTATTTAAGAAAACTATACAACA